AATGCAGAAATAGAATAAAATTTTAAGATAATTTGATGAAATTTGTAAACAAAATACATTTGAATATTAAATATACCAAATAAACTTTTTATAGTCCTCATTATTGTGACTTTATTATTGGGTGTCTTTTATCTGATTTTCCCATACATTCTTAAATGCATATGACAATTCCAGACTTAAAAGTTGCAATAATTAGTAAAAGTATAGTTTTTGACTGACTCTTTAAAGTCAGAACATAATGTGACTTAATGTTCAAGTCAGTTTGCACAACAGGATTTACCTCAATGAAATATTAAGATATCAAATATATACCAAATAAACTTTTATATAGTTCTAAAAATTGTGACTTAATATTTGTGATCTTTTTTCCTACTTGTATCCATACATTCTAACAATCACATCACAATCATGACAATGCCTGACTGTTACAGTTGCAATCCATTTAGTGTTTGACAGACTCTTATAAGTCAGAACATGATTTGACCTGCTTGAGTCAGTTTACAGAACAAAATTTCCAATCAAAGCTAGGTGTTCTTCCTCTAAGCCCCCCTCCTAAATATGAATCTGCTACTGTTGAGTTAATAAATTGATAAGTTAGTTTAGAAACAATTCAGTCAAATGGTTTTTAAAATAAGATTTTTTATAACCAAAATTTCCATATGTTAACTTAACAGAAAAAAAAGTCATGAAAATGCAGAAATAGAATAAAATTTTAAGATAATTTGATGAAATTTGTAAACAAAATACATTTGAATATTAAATATACCAAATAAACTTTTTATAGTCTTCATTATTGTGACTTTATTATTGGGTGTCTTTTATCTGATTTTCCCATACATTCTTAAATGCATATGACAATTCCAGACTTAAAAGTTGCAATAATTAGTAAAAGTATAGTTTTTGACTGACTCTTTAAAGTCAGAACATAATGTGACTTAATGTTCAAGTCAGTTTGCACAACAGGATTTACCTCAATGAAATATTAAGATATCAAATATATACCAAATAAACTTTTATATAGTTCTAAAAATTGTGACTTAATATTTGTGATCTTTTTTCCTACTTGTATCCATACATTCTAACAATCACATCACAATCATGACAATGCCTGACTGTTACAGTTGCAATCCATTTAGTGTTTGACAGACTCTTATAAGTCAGAACATGATTTGACCTGCTTGAGTCAGTTTACAGAACAAAATTTCCAATCAAAGCTAGGTGTTCTTCCTCTAAGCCCCCCTCCTAAATATGAATCTGCTACTGTTGAGTTAATAAATTGATAAGTTTTTTTAGAAACAATTCAGCCAAATGGTTATTAAAATATTATTTTTTTTGGCAACCACAAGTTCTATGTGTAAACTTAACAGAAAAGAAAAGTCATGAAAGTACAGAAATAAAATAAAATTTTAAGATAATTTGATGAAAATCTTTAAAAACAAAATGCATTTGATATTGAATATACCAAATAAACTTTTTTATAGTCCTCATTATTGTGACGTAAGGGGACCTTATTTCATCTAGCTTTTATCTGGCTTTCCCATACATTTTAAAATCAATATGAAAATCCTAGACTTAAAAGTTGAAATAAGTTTAGTTTTGTTTGACTCTTTGAAGTCAGAACATGATTTGACCTGTTAAAGTCAGTTTACAGAACAAAATTTCCAATCAAAACTAGGTCTTCTTCCTCTAAGCCCCCCCCTTTTTTCCCTTTATCTGAATCTGCTACTGTTGAGTTAATTAATCATGTTAATTGATAAGTTTTTTTTTAGAAACAATTCAGTCAAATGGTCTTTAAAATAATATTTTTTACAACCAAAAGTTCCATGTGTTAACTTAACAGAAAAGAAAAAGTCATGAAAATACAGAAATAGAATAAAATTTTAAGATAATTTGATGAAACTTGTAAACAAAATACATTTGAATATTACATATACCAAACAAACTTTTTTATAGTCCTCATTATTGTGACTTTATTATTGGGTGTCTTTTATCTGCTTTTCCCATACATTCTTAAATGCAAATGACAATGCCAGACTTGGAAGTTGCAATAATTAGTTAAAGTATAGTTTTTGACTGACTCTTTGAAGTCAGAACATAATTTGACCTGTTTAAAACAAAATACATTTAAATATTGAATATACCAAATAAACTTTTTTATATAATCCTCATTATTGTGACTTTAGGGGACCTTATTTCCTCTGTTTTTTATCTGGCTCTCCCGTACATTTTTAAATCAATATGACAATACTAGACTTAAAAGTTGTAATAAGTTTAGTTTTGACTGACTCTTTGAGGTCAGAACATGATTTGACCTGTTAAAGTCAGTTTACAGAACAAAATTTCCAATCAAAGCTAGGTGTACTTCCTTTATTCCAAGAAAGTCCTTGCTTTCAGACTGATTCTGAATCTGCCATTTTTCGAGTTTATTATTTGATAATTTTTTAGAAACAATTAAGTCAAATGGTTATTTATTTTAGGGGATCTTAACATATATTTCCTGTGTCTTTTATCTGACGTTCCCATACATTCATTTAATATCATATGGCAATGCCCGGCTTAAATATTTCAATAAATTTATTTTAGTTTTGGACTGACTCTTTTAAGTCAGAACAATGATTTGACCTGTTTAAAACAAAATACATTTAATATTGAATATACCAAATAAACTTTTTTATAGTCATCATTATTGTGACTTATGGGGACCTAATTTCCTCAGTCTTTTATGTGGCTTACCTATACATTTTTAAATCAATATGACAATACTAGACTTAAAAGTTGTAATACGTTTAGTAAGTCAGAACATAATGTGACTTGTTTGAGTCAGTTTGCACAACAGTATTTACCTCAATGAAATGTTAAAATAATAAATGTTTTGCTCTTAATACATTTAGCTTAAAGTGGATGAGAATATATCTTTTATTAACATAGTCTTATCATGAATAAGTGTCTTGTTTTTCCTTGGAAGATTTGAAGTATTGTCATGGTACTAGTAAATGTATCCAATATTGTAATTTGTAAATCTTTTGATATTCAGAAAATTGTATGATCCATTTTTTCTCACCTGGTTCTTCTTTGTATTTTGAAATAATTGAAAGTGATGAGATAAATATATTATGTTTAGATTCTGGAAAGGAGAAGGTATGATGTCAGATGAGCCCCACTTTTTAAAACTCTTTAATTCGAAACTAGTAATCACCATATATTTTATGGAGATTGATAACAAAGTGGTAGTAATGACTGCTTCAAATCAGAACAAAAATGACCTCTCGAAGTCAAAATGCATTAAAAAGGGGCATAAATCTTATTAGAATATGAAGATATTAAGTCACAATATTTTGTGCAAAAGCTGACCTGTGGAAGTCATTTTATGATAAATTAAAGTCTGACATAAACTGACCTGTACAAGTCATATTCTGTTGAGTGCAAGAAGGGAGACAACACTTACATCAAATTATATCTGACCTATGGAAGTCATTTTATTCTGACTTGTTTATGTCAGAGCTCTGACTGTTAATTGAGTTTAACAACCATAATAAAGCATTCAATAAAGAACCAAATATAATCAATTGTTCAATTTCATTACCATGATTACGGATATTTTGACTTTCATTATATCTTATTAAGTTTCGATTTTTAAATTCAAGTTCGGTGGAGATGGAAACCAACATGTTTGGATAACATGGATAATATAAGTTTTTGTTTGTTTGTTAATGAAATCTTTTTAGTTTGACAGTTCCAGAGATTATATCACAGTTTGTACATTTTCTTTATGACGAGAGACTGTTCTTCAAATTCCAAATTTTCCTCACCCTCAAGGATGACTTGTGTATAAAAATATGTTAACTTTTGTTTTTTTATTTTTCGATAAAGTAAACCCCTTGCCAAGTGGGGCGTCCTTTAGTTATGCTGGGTGTATAAATACGCAGCCACGTTCGGTCTGAAAAAGTTTACATTTCCCGCTCAAAACATGGCAAACATGAGTTATCTTTCTTTGTTGATACCCGGATGCAAGAGTAAACATGGCGCTTCCGTTTGTTGAAAACCCTGTCAAAATCAGATGAAATTCACGGAATTTACGAGAATTTGAAATAGGGAACATTTTTTTAAAGAATATGAAAGAATTGAAGCCAGACTAGTACATGTATACTTTTTTGACATAAAATGCCGTTTTATGTACAAAACACTTGGAATGGACATCGTTCAGTGTAAGGAATTTGTTCAGCCTCATTCAATTTTTCAAACTTATACCGTTTTGGGTTAAAAAATTATGATTTAGGTCAAAAAGTAGAATTTTGAGAATTCCACATAAATAATGCCAAAAATTTGAAAATTTTAATTTTTTATGAAGAAACAATTATCAAAACATGAACAAAACTGTGAACATAGTGTTAGAGAATGAAATGAAGACAAAAATAACTACACACTAGTTTTTATTGATATTTATTATGAAGATCTCCCACTTGAGTCATAGTAGCCAGGGAAGCCATCGTCTCAGAGTAGCTTCTGTTGGGGCAGCTATCGGTGAAAGGGTTAACATGTCCATGCATGAATTATTTGACACTGGACGTGAAGAAAACAACAATCAATCAATCAAATTCCTTTTTAGCGTAGCGGGTTTTTTGAAAGAGCTAGGTCAAACTTTGAATTTTGGTCAATATTCACTCCATAGCAATTTATAAAGCAAAATATTGCAAGGTTGTTTATTGCCTTATATTTATAGGATAATGGTATATCTTACATACATGTACATCATGTACATGTTGGGAAGTGCTGTCTTTTCCGTTTGTTTGTATGAAGTAGATTTTCAATTACAGCTTGTGTTGGACTATTGGGGTGTCTGACTAATGGGGTGTCGGACCAATAAGGTGTCGGACCAATGGGGTGTCGGAATAGAGGGGCAACCCCACAAAATAATGGTGATCATGGTGATATCCTGTTACTCCGACAACCATTATTTTGACATCCCATTATTCCGACAGCACATAATAATAAATACTTACAGCATATTGTCATTTGTTGATACCGACTGTCTTAACAAAGCAGTGTTCTTGTACAACTGGTTGATGAGAGAACTAGCGTAATTCATTGACCACCTTGGAAGTCCATCCAAAGGAGGTAAATCAAAAGTCAGTTTGCTTTTCAATGCATCGAGAGTTTCCTTCGCCAGCGGATTTGCTTCAAATGGAAGTTCACTTTTGGCTAAAACGTCAAACATACAAGTTGGGCCATCTTCAAATGTTCTATTGAAGTATATGCCTAAAGGATCTAAATCGAAACTTTTCCATCTATTGATCTCGTGTGGAATGTCCTCATCTCCTAAGGAGAAATCTGATTCATAGTCGAAATACTTCCTCTTCCGACCCCTGGAGGCTGTGCTTCTCCCGCTCCTCCTGCTTTTCTCTGAGCTCGAAGAACTTGGGCTATGAGGAACAGCAGCCATTAATTTGTTGTTAGATTATTCGTTTTCTGTGTATTGACCTCCTGTGAGTAGGAGCACCAGTACATGGAGTTTTAATAAAGATTATGTACAGTGCATATATATAAAAAGGGGGAAAAATTACATGGCATATATATATCTAAACAAGAAAGGATCTTTTTGAATCTACAATCTATTTTATATCATTATTTGGAACAAAAATTGCATACAAATTTAAGGGGAATGGGTGGGACTGACTTTTTTACTTAATGGAGCTAACAAGAAGCCTCAAGAAGACAAACATCAATATACTCTGGAACATGTTCAAAGAAGACCTAGAAAGCAGTACTAACCAGCATATACCTTCCAAAGTATGCAAGACTAAGGACAAAAACCCATGGATAACCCCCCTTACCGAAAAATAAGCCCTGCGGCAAACATTTGCCGCAAGCTTGCAGCAAACATTTGCTGCAAATTTGCCGCAACCATTTTACCATGCAAATGAAGGTTGCGGCAAGCTTGCTGCAAACATAATTATGCAAATTAGATTTGCCGCAAGCTTGCGGCAATTGTTTGCTGCAAGCTTGCGGCAATTGTTTGTTGCAAACTTGCGGCAAACTTGCAGGAACTACACATACACTAATGGCATGTGTGTAGACACATTCAATTTATCTCTTCAAATTACACAGCAACGTTTTTAGGTAACACGTAAACTCATTAACACCTGTGGATTAAATTGTAATATTTTCCTGTCCTCTAGGAACATAAAACTTACATAATTCACTACCATTAATTAGACATAGATATCAGTAAATAAAACCACAGACTTTCTCCTTAAAGTTTAGTGGTTTGTACATATATTGAAGGTGTGCATGTAGTCAGGGTTTAATATTTGCTCTTTTGGGAGATAGTTGAAGTTATTTTAAAATAACACTTTGCATCTGCGGGGGCATCATTTGTTTCTCCCAGACACAATTAAATCTCAGATAAAGTTCTACATTATCTTTGTTATGATGCAGTTACTTCAGAGTGAAGTGCGGGGCATCACTTGGTCTAGTTAATTTTATAATTATTTTTTTGTTGTAATTAATCTTATTTGAAAATATTCGTTCATATTTCAGCCGTATCTCAATTTTTTTTTACTTTATAAAATTATTTTATATGTGTTACCCTATATTCTTATGTGTAGAATACTCTTAAACATTTAAATATAAGAAAAGAGGGCAACATACATAAATTATTATTGTTAAATCGCATTGATAAGAGTTTGAACACTTAAGACAAGGTAAAAAAGTTGATGTGAAAAGACTATTTTCAAATTATAAATTAACTGCAAAAAATAAAAAAGGGGGTCTCCCAACAATCTCTTTTGCATGGACTACTATATTTTCAATATAATACTTCAATGATAAGATAGAATAGTAACATATGGTATTGAATAGTGATACCTCACCGGAAAGGATTTACCGTGGCACCATGGGACGCTTAAACAATATACTATGTAAATATTGACACATTCGTGTTTATATGTTAGCTGAGATCGATAATTATGGAGCTTTTCTTAAAAAGGACCTCGATGTTTTTCGTCATTTGTATTATCAAACGACATTTTATGAATATACTAAACAAGGATTTGTATAGTACTATACAAATCCTTGTACTAAACAATAAGATTAATGTATGAAGCATATCCTAACAATGATTTTGATGCTATGATATCTTACTGTATACATTCAAAATACTTGCATTTACTTCTCTGATCATTTCTTATAATGATAAGAATAATATTTCCTATACCTTTTCATTATACAAAACTTGTATAAAATTTTGTATGTTTTGAATAACATTAAAAATTGCACGTTGTCATCTTTTCTATTTCAATTTAGTTTTTCAGATTTCGTAGACATTTTTTTCAATAATACAATCATGCAATTGTGTATTCAAATATTTGATAATAATAATATAATTACTCAAATCAAAATAAGATTAATTAGACAGAGCCTTTAAAAAAAAAACGGAAAAAAAAAAACAACACTTTTTGCATATTTTTCTTCAAGATGTCAACAAAACCACACTACTTTTAAAATTTTGATGTTTAAAGAACTCTTTGGTATAATAGAAATTAATATATTGTTTAAAACCTAACTAGATATTTAAAATGATGGATGTAATTAGAAAAGAAGTTCACATCATAAAAATGAGAATTCAACTAAATAACAAGACCAATTTGTCTTTGAATACGGTCAATCTAAGTTGAATGAATATACATCGTATTCATAAATAATGAAGTTTCACTTTCAAATGCTTAGGGACAACAGTAAACATTATTTTAAAATGACGATTCTTATACCATTTGATAGGAAAATTATTTGCCAATACTGTATAATTTGTTAATTTGATTTACAATAAAAAATGAATTTAATATGAATTTTTATAAAATATGTATACCTCGTAATTTAACATATCTCAACCAAAAGAGAACCCGACGTTCAACATGATAGGGACACCAGTAAATATCAAGATAAAGTGGATTTTATTACACCATTTCAAAGCTAAAAAATTGGTGAGATCTCTATAATTTATATATTTTATATGAGATTTATAAAATAGACATAGTATTCGTTTATTTAGCTAGTGGTCATAATTCCCCATAGACAATAACGTTAAAAAAAGTTCAATGATTACGGTTCTCTGTGTGGTGGCTGATAAAGCCATCCAGCTGAGCTGTCCGCAATTCTTGTGTATGAAAAGAATTCCTGCCTGTATACAAACAGTCATTGAAAGAATTCTTGCAAACTTTAAGATTTAAGGAAATACATACATGCATTTGAGTTTTGAAAAAGAGGGCAGGGGTCATTCTCAAATGACATTGTATACCTGTATTAAGAAATGAAAAAGGACAAATCTCAAATGTGTATTGGGTATAAAGCTAGGTAATAATTGCATAACAGAATTGAACTTAATTTTAATAAGCATGGTACAGTACATCATGCAGTTACAAAATTCAAACTTATAATAGCTAATGTTTTTTCAAACACACATATATATTATATATATAGTATCTTACTTAATTATGTATGATGGTGACATTAATTATTTTATTAAACATGCAGTTCTATGAATTATTTGTACTTACAAAATTACATATTAAATATCCTAAATTATTGAACCAAAATGCCTCTTTGATCTCTTATATTTGAAATGCATTTTCCAAACACAATCAACATGACCTAGCCACAATTTCAAATTGTTAGCTTCCAGGAAGTGCCAACTAGGCATGCCCAGTCAATATTGTGTAATTCTTGCAATGTTCTGGCAAACATATAGAATGGTCAAAGTTTTCTGCAATCTTGCGGCAAACATTCTTTATTATCTTAACTTTCTGGCAATCTTACGGCAAACATTGATGTTTCTGCAAATTTGCCGCAAGCTTGCAGCAAAAAGCTGCAATGTTTGCCGGAAGTTTGCAGCTAGCGGCCAACATCTGCAAACACTATTTTCTGTGTTCCTGCAAACTTTTTGTTTGCCGCAAGCTTGCAGCAAGTCTGCTGCAAGTTTGCGGCAAACAATTCAGTTCCATAAGGGCCAGGAAATCAAAAAACTTATGAGACGAAGAGACCGAGCCTATAAAAAGAAAAAGAAATCAAACCATGCTACTGATGTTAAAAGATTTAAACAACTGAAACAAACCATCCAAAGAAAATCAAGACAAGCCTATTGGAAGTATATAGAAGACATAATAACTCCAGAAGATAACGAGGACATCCGTTCACCAACAAAAAGATTCTGGACCTATATCAAACACAAGAAAAGTGATAAAAATGGAGTAGCACCACTTAGAAGAAATGGGAAATTAGAAACTGACCCAATAAATAAAGCAATTATTCTAAATGATCAATTTCAATCAGCCTCTTCTCTGGTGCATGTCCAATCAGTAAAGTTTAACGAGATTTTGAAAAGAAAAAACTCATGTCAGATCTACCAGAAAATTATCCAGACAGCGAACAAATAATCATCACAATTAATGGAGTGGAAAAACAGCTGAAAAATCTAAAAACCACACAAGGCTGCTGGACCAGACAACATCAAGCCAATGATTCTGAAAGAACTAGCCAGTGAAATTGCTCCAATCTTAACCATCATATACAATTTTTCAATGGAGAAAGGAAAGATACCCGATGACTGGCGAACTGCAAATGTCACTCCGGCATATAAGAAAGGCCAGAAATACATAGCAGCTAACTATAGGCCAATATCCCTAAGGGGACGACCATTTGATATTCGGGGGGGGGGGGGGGGGGCAGGAGGATTTTGAAAATAAATAACTCAGCCTTGATAATCACAAAAATAAATGGTTTGTTCTGTGGTAGTTTGAAAATAAATTACCTGACTTGCAATGTATTGAAAATAAATAACTCAGCAGGTCTAATCGAAAGTATGAGATGGCACCAGATTCTTCATATTAAATTCATCTTTTTTCCAAAAAAAAATCGGGAAACACTTCCCATATCTTTTAACAATAAAAGTATACATATTATTTAAATATACTTGAAATGTCAGAAAATTGATTTCATTTAACTTGAGTTTAATTGTCTCAGGAACACTTACCTCACTTTTATTAAATCAGGGCCGTATAACTACATTGAGACAAATGCCTCATGTAGGAAATTTCAAAACCAAACGCTTGTCTCCATATCAAATTGTGTTCACCGTGAGTGCCTTGCAAGAAGCAAGTTCTGTTCTCCCTCAGACGTAGCCCCTGATTTTACGAGTTCAATGTTTCTTATTTATTTGTCTTTTGTTCATTGATTGCCCTTCTGTATTCTGTGAGTGTTGCATTCATTTTGTAATTTAGTAATTTTATTATCAACTTGATCATGAGTTTAAAAAAACACAGCAGCCACAGACTTAACTATGTGAATTACATTTTTGCTTTATCATGCATATTTGTCTTTTGATGTTGTCCCTAGAAACTTAAGTCTTACACTGAATCTATAACGTGATTTTGCTTTGAGACCAAAATATTGCCATA